AAGCTGGAAACCGCCCCGCGCCACAGCAGGCGGCGCCTCGTGGAGTGGAAGCACCACTGGAGACAGCGTCCTGAGTTCCCTTGCGGGAAACCGACGGGCAGCAAGTCAGGACACTGGTCACCCCGGGCGTGTGGGGGTGACGAGGAGTGGGGAGGGGGGCTGGTGGCTGGTCATGTTTGTTGACCTGGGGGTGGTCACAAGGGTATGCTGGGTGTGCTTGGGGGGAAGAACCCCAATACGTTCGTCCCGACGGGACAAAGAAAACCAGAGCCACCTTCCCACCCACTGCAGCTCGTGCACCAGGCCGGGGCCAATCCCCGGCTCCTTTGCCCCACTACGGGGCTCCGTTGCCCCACTTCCGCGTTCCGTTGCCCCACTTCCGCGTTCCGTTGCCCCACTTCCGGTTTGTGTGTCCTTTCTCCCCCGCAGGTGCGGGCAGAAGGGGCAGAAGGGCGGAGCGATGGGGAGCGGGAGGGAAGAGCGGGGCGGGGTCGTGCCCCGGAACGGAAGCGCGAGACCTCTAGGCTCTTCCGGTGCGTGACATGGTCGTTGGAAGATGCGTTCGCCAGCCACAAGATCCGTTCTTGATGCTAACATACAACTCCTTGGGCTTCAGAAGCACAAATTGCCGTACACCTTGCCTTCAGCCTCCCAAGTACCCAAGCCTTGTGGTCATCACCAAAGCGCCAGGAGAGACATGGGACAGGTACCACAGAAGGAACCAACCCTGCCAACACCGCGTGATTTCAGATTTTTGGCCCTCTAGAACTGGGAAAGGAATAAAATTTATGTTGTTTTAAGTCACTCAGTTTGGGATACATGTTACAGCCACTCTAGGAAACTGTTCCAACCTTCAATCTCTTTCAACATTACACATGGGAACAGTCTTGAGAAGATGGTCGGTAGCAAAAATAAATCCAAGCTTGAGAAAAAAGTGCGCAGAATTCTAGGCAATGCTCACTGATTCCTTTAAGTGTTTTTCAACAGGAAGTGATTCTGCACCGTGACCCCCAGGAGACATTCTGGCAATGTCTGGAAGATATTTTTGGTTGTCATTACTGGGTAAAGACAGGGAGGGGGTGCTTCCACAGCACTAGGGGTGGAGGCCATAAATGCTGCTCAACATCCCACAATAAACAGGGCACCCCCTCCCCAACTCCCCCAACAACAATTACCTTACTACAAATGCCAAGAGTCGCTGCTATTGACAAACCCGGCTCAAAGCTCAGAAAACTCACGGTTTCCAGAATGACAGGAAAAGAAGATACGGAGTCAGAAAATCCGCCTCTCTTACTTCCTTAATTTGATGACCTTGTTCCAGTTTCTTAGCCCTCTGTGTCTGTTTTCTCAAAATTGTGAACTGGTGATAATTATGTCACAGGGGTCCTCTGAGGATTAGGTGAAAACACTGAGACACGTTTATTTCCAGCAGTCTGCTAAAGCACTAACCAAATACCAGCTAACAACAGACATGTCGTAAAAAGTTTTGCAGCCTTGGCACAGGAAGGAAGATCTCTCTGTGCGGAGGGGTGGGGGGCGAGGGGTGAGGCAGAGGTGTGGGTGAAGGGAGTGGAGTCTCATGCCTCCAAGGCCAACCTCACGCCACGGTTGGTACGTCGCTGTGGGCTCCCCTCCAGCTAAACTCACACACGGGCTGACCTCTACGCCCCATCGGCCGCTTAAGTGAGGTAAGCATGTGAAAGGTGCAGGAACACGCCAGGCCCTTGAGTCAGGACTCTCCTATCGCCCTCGCATGAGACCCAAGCCCAGACCACCTGTGCGGCTGAAACTTGAGGTCCCCACCCAGCAGTGCCCACCTCCTTAAACACCCAAATCCAACCTAACCCTCCGACTTTGCCCGCTCCTTTATGCC